GTGTGTAAAGCACTGCATAAAGGCAAAGTTTTTGTTTTTTTTTGGGGGGGGGGTTGTGTTTTTTTTTTTTTTTTTTTTTTTTTTTTTGTTTTTTTACTTTTCTTTAGAGTGGAGATGGATTAGAACACCCGTCAGTTTTTATTGCAGTCTGTGCCCCTGTTAGAGAGATTCATCCTCTCTATTTGTCCTGTTTACTGTTATTGAAAGTAAAATTCTTGGTTGTCCCCAGGAAAGTAACAGAGGGGAAATCTTCCAATGGGGACACTAGTTCTGGTGACCAGGGGGGCTCCCAAGAAATAACCTTAATTAGCAGGGATTTCCTCTCACACTTCCAATGTTGGCTACAGGACAGGACATGAAGGGAAATCTTCCCAATGGGTACAGATGGCAAAAAAGCTGACAGCGGTTATAATCCTCTATTACCCTATTCAAAATGAAAAACGTTTTGCCTATAGTTCTACTTTAATTTGTACACTGCCAGATTACCACTAGAGATGCAATTGTGAAGCCTGAAAATATTGGCCAGTGTACAGTGCAGCTCTTGTTCAGGATGGCACATTCTTTAAAAGGAACTTGACCTTGCTAAAATTTTATTTCTAGTCCCCGTTGATAATTTTTCCTATATTTAAAGTGGAACTTCATGCTCTCAATCAGCACTGACTATTTTAATTCTTCTACTGCTAGCATTTTATGTTCTACATTTCTTCAGTTACTTCCTGGTTTCTGGCCTAGGCAAATGATGTCATACATCCCACTGGGATGATCCCAGGAGTCTTCAGGAGGGGAGGGGTTTTCTCAGCTAAGCATGCCTAAAGCTGGCCTTTACGCAGCCCTTTATATTGTACATTCACATCAGTCCCTAACCCTCAAGGGGCGTACAATCTAAGGTCCTTAACTTACATTCATTCATTCATACATACATACATACTAGGGCCAATTTAGACAGGATCCAATGAACCTACCAGCATGTCTTTGGAGTGTGGGAGGAAACCCACGCAGGCACAGGAAGAACATGCAAACTCCAGGCAGGTTGTGCCATGGTTGGGATTCGAACCAACGACCCTAGTACTGCCAGGCTGAAGTGCTAACCATTTAGCCACTGTGGTGCCCATGAAACCCTACACACGTACAGACACACTATGGGTCTCCATCAAGCCTATGGGACCTGCCAGAGAGCTGCAACATTGTCTGCACATGTGGAAGCTTGCCCCACACATGCGCAGACCTTTGCGATTCTTTGGCAATACCCATAGGCTGGTAAGATAACTGCAGTGATCAGCGCATGCATGGGGGGGGGGCTGCTTTGTTTCTGTGCATGTGTGAGCCTATTAAACACCAAAATGCTGCCTCCGGGAACATGATGTAGACCTCCTAGGAGGAAGTGGGTAGGTGAACATGTCCTCCTCTGCCTAGGTGAGGATGCACCCATGCAAACAGAAAAAGGTATTTCATGTTAAAATTGTCTTTTTTCCAATTCTGTAAGAGGAAGAGGGGGGGGGGGGGGGGGGGGGGGGGGGGGGGGGGGGGGCGGAAGAGAGGAAGTGCTATTTGTCGGCAAAGGTCCTTTTTAAGGTCATTGTAGCCACATTAGTGCACTAGCAACAACAATTGATTTCTGTTACTTTATTTGTACTAACAGCTACAGTTTCAGGACAAGCTTTCATGGTCTACCACCTTCTTCCTGGTCCCAGCAACACTTCCTCGAAAGCTTGTCCTGAAAATGTGTGTGTAAAAGGATCCCGGTCAGATAACACAGAAAAATGTGTGACACAAGGATCGGACACGGCGAAACTCATGCCGCCATTCACAAAAATGCTTGCATTTCCCAGATATACATTTACTTTACAGGACATTTGGCTCTACCTGTGATGGAGCCTGCCCCTCTCCTCTTCGCCCCGTCACTTCTTCCCTCCTTCCTTCTCCCAATTTTTCTCCAGCCCGTCTCTCCCGCCCCCCCTCCTCCCGGTTGCTATGGCAGCCATGTTTCCTCTGCTGTTGCTGTGGCGGGAGAAAAGGTCGTCGCTAGGTCGTCTCCACAGCGACGGTGGCTGGGAGCCTCTCGCTTGTCTGAGAGAGGGGATTGGCTGGGAGGGGGGAAGGGCTGGTAAGCCAGGAAACACTGTGCTGGGATAATGTGTGAAACTTATCTGGATAATGCAAAGATTAGCAGGATAAATGCAACTCATTATCCACATGGAATGCTTCAGGTGAGCTGCATGGAGGCAGCAAGATGTCTTCTAGGGCCTGTGCATGGCTGTTGAGCAAGAACAAAATTTCTGTGAAATTACGAGGATGCGTTGGAATTTTTGGCTTGGGAACAGGCAGACTCTAATTACCAGGGAACCTCAAATCCCAGCATGCATTGCAAGACCATACATGGTTAAGGATGATTCATTGCCATCTCTGTAAATGTCTATGATAATCAAGTCCCTCAAAATTTCCTAGTTTTTACACTTCCTTTTATTCTTCTACTAAAGGTTGCCAGAAACTGTTTCAGATTCAATCTGTTAGATCAGGGGTCTCTATACTTTTCACAAAGGACCAGTTAACTGTCTTTCAGACTTTAGAAAGGCCAAATTGTGGCAAGTGGGGGTAAAAATGTCCCGGGCCCAGAATCGGTGAGAATAAACATGGCCTTAGGGTTGATGGTCAGTAGGAGGAGGAGGGAGTGCCCCACCATTGGTATTAGTAGGATAAATAGTGCACCATCATTCATACTAGTGGAAGAAATATTGCCCTATTGTTGGTGTCAATGAGAGGAATAGTGTCTCATTATTGGCAGGAATAGTTCCCCAAGGGCTGGATAAAAGCTAGCAAAAAGCCACATCAGGCCCCAGTGTGGAGACCCCTGTGTTAGATCAAATTTACCAACCACTATGTAGAGTGATGGCCTCCCTAACCCATCCATTCCAATGATATCCCTTTGCAAAACAACCCCCCACACACCTTGCTACAGGCCTTAGCAGCCAAGAGATACATCCCTGATAGGTATGTGACCAGTAGATGAATCATATACACATCTACATGTAATACAGTAATCAAAATACCAAACGGTATAGAAATGTAAAATTCACATAAAAAATGACTTTCAGATAAATGTTGCATTAATAAAATGTATGCTTACTGAGAATATTCTATGGTTTCCTTTAGTCCCATTTAGGGCAATTCTGTAGTTTACCTTTTTTCCCCATTTAGGGCAAGGTGACATGTAAGGGTAGAGTGATAGGGTGGATGTCATGTTCTCCATGTCCCTACTCATTGGTCGCCAAGCAAGGGTCACATGAGAATCCTACCCTGAGGTCTTCTGGGCTACGTTAGGCACTTTGGTTAGGGTCACTGCACTTATCTCTAATAAACTCTCTCAATGTTTCTGTACGTCACCATGGTCACTTGTGCAATTAGAAGGGACACGCAAGAGCCTTTGCCTTCTCCACCTGTCCAGCATATAACCGCTACTTCTCTCCCAATAACTGTACGGGTCCCGCACTGCACCTAGCACAGACTCCATACCTGCACTTCACTTAACTCTTTTTCTTATGTACCTGTGCACAGGTGGAGGGCCGTAGCAGTGGAGATCTGCTCCCTTTGCTATGGGAGAAGGATTGCTGTGAAGGAGTACCGACAATATCTCTCTCACTGCAAGAGGCTATCTCACCTGTCACATGTACACACTTAAAGACTGTTCCCACTGCCCCTAGCCAGTGGGAACTCTGACTTCGGCACATTACTGGAAATCCCTGACTTTGGTAAAGGCAGGGAACAAGTCTGACAGAACTGAACCAGTAGAACAGCAAAAAGAACCCCCCTCGGCCCCCAGGGTCTAGATTGACCTTCGTTACCCCACTTGTACCTTCGCACTGTATGAACACTTATATCATGCATTTCATACCCCAGTATGTTTAGTGACCAGAGCTATAGACTGTTTGTGCCGGTTACTTGCATTACACCCCTTGAGAAAATTCAGACCAGGCAAAGGCAAGGTTTCAAAAGCTTTACTTGAATAATTTAACATGATGACACAGACAGATAACAGTCCGGAATAAAGTGCAAAGGTTTCCCTGACATACCTAGTCCCTAACTCAGGCTTGTGGCTGCCCTAGCATACCTGCATAGGAAAGAGTCCATCTTTGGCAGAGTCCACAACTGATGTCCTCAGGAGGGACTGCAAGCCCCAACAATCCCCCTAGGCAGTTGGAGCTCTGACTTTGGCACATTACTGAAAATCTAGACTTTGATAACAGCAGGGAACGAGTCTGATCAATCCAAACTGGCTGGAATCGAACTTTTAGAACAGCAACAAGACCTCCCCTCGGCCCGCAGGGTCTGGACCTCCATCCTTTTTATAGCACACAGGACCAGGAGGGTTGGACTCAGGAAAACCCACCATGAAAAACCCAGGGAACACAATTAACTCCCAACTTCCCGGCTCGGGCATCGTTAGCCACTACCTGCCTATAGACGGGCTTCTTGCAAGAGCAACCTATCACAGGTTGATCTTCATTGCCCTAATGGAATTCTTCCAAATTTGAGGAAGCATGTGACCTCTTCGACTTCCTCCAAGATGCAAAGGTTGGGTCTGAGCAATTTCTAGGCCCAGACATGGGGAGAAGAGGAAGTCATTAACCATGTGTAAGCCCTGATATCACCTGATATGGCTCTGATAAGGAGCTTAGGCTTGGTTTGTACTCCCAGCTCCAAAAGAGGAACAGAGTAGCGTGGGAGCCTAAGAATGAGGAGTATAAAAGGGTGGAGGGTTATTCTTTACCTGAATGGGCAAACTGACATGGTCTGCTGGCTGGTTTCTGAATTCTACAGAAATTTGTCCACTCCTGGTTTATCATTTTGCAATGTTTTAGTGAATCTTTGTAAATGTTATTTACATATTTCAGTACATATTCCTAACTCTTTCTAGCTTTTCACCTAACTCGAATCTGGTCTCCACTTCTCCAGGGCTAAGTATTCGAAACACTCAGGAGGAGGAACCCGTGGACCCTCAGTTGATGCGTTTGGACAACATGTTGCTTGCGGAAGGTGTGGCAGGCCCAGAGAAGGGTGGAGGATCAGCAGCAGCAGCCGCGGCCGCCGCAGCCTCTGGTGGTGTCTCGCCAGATAACTCCATAGAACACTCAGACTACAGGAACAAGCTGTCCCAAATCCGACAGATTTATCATGCCGAGCTAGAGAAGTATGAGCAGGTGAGAGAAAACAAAAATTCTGAGGAGGGTAGAATTTTTTTTATACCATGTCAACTTATCCTCCATCTTTGAATTATTTTCCAACATTCTTTCAGTTTCTACCCCTACCTTTCTAATTCTCCACTCAGGCATGCAACGAATTCACCACACATGTCATGAACTTGCTGAGGGAACAGAGCCGAACCCGACCCATCTCCCCAAAGGAGATCGAAAGGATGGTGGGGATCATTCACCGAAAGTTCAGCTCGATCCAAATGCAGCTTAAGCAAAGCACGTGTGAAGCAGTCATGATCCTTCGGTCAAGGTTTTTGGATGCACGGTAAATAACAAAGAGCTTGTAGAAGACATACAGTGGTCCAAATGTACTCATACATGGGCTCATAATGGCCCAAGATAATGGCTAATTGGCTTCTCTGTACCTGCTAGCTTTGGAAATCCACACATATCCTTTTGGCTATTGAAATTCTCTAATGGAAGATACAGTTGTAGACAGGTGCATGTATGCAGCTCCCATATAAATGTTTCTGTTGTCCATCGTGTAAAATAAGTGTCAGACACCCATGAAGAAGAGATGTCACGTTCGATAACAAAATCTGCTGTAGATCAGTTTTCCCAAAGCTGAGGAAGAGAGATGGTGGATGAAAGGCATATAGCCTACTACAGCCAGCCATTCATCATACAATATGCAGATGTAGCCCACTGTTGTTACCATCAGGAAATCCACCATGAGAAATATCATGTAGCCATTGCTGGAGCGCATGTGGGCAGGAAATTGCAGCAAAGAGGCTGCAGGAGATCCGAATCTTTGAGTTGCAACAAAGGATGGAAAAAAGTCAAAACAAGTATTTTATTTTTTAAAAGCGTCCTTTTATAATACACTGCGGTTTCAGCAAGGGATTACATCTTCTGTAAAGAAAATGCTTTGCTTACGTTACCAAACCAACCATGATTTTTTTTTTAGCTCTTTCAGTAGAAAGTTGCTTGTTATGTTCTAAATATATAAATATCTACTTTTATTTTAGGCGGAAGCGAAGAAACTTCAGTAAACAGGCGACAGAAGTGTTGAATGAATACTTCTACTCACACCTAAGTAACCCTTACCCCAGCGAAGAGGCTAAAGAGGAGCTTGCAAAGAAATGCGGCATCACTGTGTCACAGGTAAAATTCAAGTACCATGGCTATTGGCTAATTGGTTATCTAAATCTGTGGACATGCAGATAGTAAAGAGTTAAGTGTTTAACCACTAGCCTACTGGGCACTTATACCCCCTTCCTGCCCAGGCCAATTTTCAGCTGTCGCACTTTGAATGACAATTTCTCGGTCATACAACATTGTACCCATATGAAATTTTTATCATTTGTTTCACAAAAGTAGAGCTTTCTTTTGGTGGCATTTATTGGTTGTTTTATTTTTTACGCTATAAACCAAAAAAGAGCAAAAAAAATATTTTTTTTTCTTTGTTTCTATTATAAAATATTGCAAACAGGTAATTTTTCTCCTTCGCTGATGTGCGTTGATGAGGCAGCACTGATGGGCACTGATAGGCGGCATTAATGATGTGGCACGGATAGGCAGCACTGATGGGCACTTATAGGCGGCACTGATGATGCTGCACAGATATGCAACAATGATGGGGACTGATAGGTGGCACTGACTGGCGGCACTGCTGGGCACTGGTGGGTGGCACTGTCCGTAGCACACAGAGATGGCCAGGTGCGCACCCCCAGGAGGATACAGGAGGGCGGTTTCTGGGAGGAAGTCATATGACGCCCTCCCAGAACTGGAAAACCGCGCTGTAGCCGTCATTTGGCTATAGCCCGGTTGGCAAGTGGTTAAACTACCTTTGTGAAAGAACTTGGCACCCAAACCAAACTTGTGTATTGTCTAGGCTATTATTTATGCTTTACTTATTTCTACAACTCACCAATCAATGTAATGTACAGTGATCTGCAGATCAGAAAGTAATTTCAGGTGTTCACCCAAGACCTGAACATTTTTTTTTTTTTTTCCCAAGGGTTCCTTATGGGTAAAAAGTTGGAAAAGGCTGGTATAAGACAGTACAGGGACATAGGATAATTCCAACCCCATAAGCCTCTCTCCACCGTTCCTGCTTTAATACACCCAAATGTTGGCAGTCGGATAATGATGAACATCTGGGGTCTTATTTGTCATTATACAGGAAAAGTGATGGATTACTGTCTTCACAAAGATCTCTGTTTCAGCAACATTAAACATTCATTATATGAGCAAAAAAAAAAATACATATATTTTTATTTAAATTTTTTTTTTTGCTCATATAATGAATGTTTAATGATATATATATTTATTTATTTTTTTTATTTTTATATTTTATTTTAAGGTGTTTTTGTTTTTTTGGGTTTTTTCTAGAATGTATGGTTACGGTTTTTTCCTGTTTTTGCCCTTTTTTTCCTCTCCCAAAGACATAACAAGAAATGAGAAAATTAGTGGAATTACCATCTTAGACACCTGAACATTTGTTCCTGGTTGAAGGCCTCCCCTTACCTCTTGCTCTGCTGACAACGGTTTACATTTCCCATTGCTTTTCTTGTCCCCTGCATAGACACAGAGAGAAATAAAGATAAAAACTTGACAGAAGAGCTAACCCTGTATCAAAAACTAAGAAGAAAAGTTTTGTCTTTACATACACTTAAAAATGGAAAGTCCTCCTAAAGCAAACCAGTTAGTTTTACATTGAGGATGATATAGAATGTACATATTACACATACAACGTTTGGTGCATTTTCCTCAGTCCTCCTTTCTGAAAAGCCCACATCCACTGCTTCTATGTAAGTAAGCATGGGAGAGGATTTTGAGGTTGTTAGCACAGGCAGAATATCCATGTGGTAAATAAGGTGCTGTGTTCAGATGCACTGTTTATAGATACATACCACTATGATGTAATATATACTTGATCTTGACTGGTTAAATGTGAACAATTAATTTTGAGTGAGCTGTGAGATCTTCTAAACCATTTCTGCAATGACTACCATGAGTCTTTGTCTCCACCCAGGTATCCAATTGGTTTGGGAATAAAAGAATTAGGTACAAGAAAAACATTGGAAAATTCCAAGAGGAAGCAAATATTTATGCAGTGAAGACAGCAGTCAGCGCAGCCCAGGGAGGTCACAGTGGAGCCAACTCTCCAACCACCCCAACCTCTGCAGGTAGGTTCACTTCCTCCTTCTGGACCAATTAGGGGGACTTGATCTATGAATATGGTCTATAGAGCTGCCAGTTGTAGAAGTAAACACCATCTATAGACAACCACCTTGCACCTGGGCGGCTAGTTAACTTACCCATAACATTAGGCTGCAGTCCCATCTAACTACTGTTCTTTGTTCTTTCTCAATTCTTTGCTTTCTGCATCCTTGACATTTGTATTCCTTATTCTCCTTCTCTTTGGCACCTTAACCCTGTGACTCTTTGCCTTGTAAAATCCTTCTCCTGACCCCTTCCCTCTCTCTTCAACCCTATTTTTCCTCAACATCAACTGTTGATTCCAACTCAACAACCCACTAACACTTGATTCCTTCTGTTTGTCTTCTCAACCCCCGAATGTTTCTGTATGTTCCCTCAACCTGGCTAACATGCATTCCATCTCCTTAACCATAATTTCTATTGCGGCTTCAAACAATTGATATCTTCTCAACTAACTGCCTCATTCCATTAATTTATCTCTGCAACTCTTATTTTTGTTTTATTCCCAATTACCACATGCTCTGGTATTTATTCCATCCTTCTGTCTTCTGAATCCACTTGATTTATTTATCTCTTCTTTGTCTCTTGATTCATTCTGTCCTGTCTACATATTGTTGCCTCACTTTTCTTCATTTTCTCCACCTTCTGACTTTTGTTTCATGTTAACATTTCATTAACCCTTGGACATTTGTTCATCTCCTCTGCTCTCCATCTCCACTCTAACTCCACTCTAACTCGGACTCATGTTTCTACAATACTACACCTATTGTTTTCATGTCAATATCTCCTCACCCTTCTGACATCTCTCTGTCTTCTCAAATCTCCAACCTTCTGACACTTTGTTCTGCCTTTGTCTAAACCTTCTGACATATTGCTTCTTACTCTCTACCTTTTAAAACTCCATCACTTTGCTTCCTCAATCCTCTATATTCTCCTCTATCTCGTTCTTCTCTCAGGTTCTGGTGGCTCATTCAACCTGTCTGGATCTAATGACATGTTCATGGCGATGCAGGGCTTAAACGGGGATTCTTATCCCCCTTCACAGGTCAGTTTTAGGTCCCCTCCACTGCTATAATTTTTTTTTTTTTTCTTATTTCTCACTTTTTTCCTTTCTTGCTCTATATGTCTTCTGCTAACCTTTCCTCTGTTGTGTTCAGTAGATTCTTCCCTATTTGTCATTCAGGTGTACTTCTCCATCACACCTTTTATCAAATTTTCTTCACATCTCATTTTTCCTATTCCCTCCTTCTGTATACTTGCTCTGGTTCGCCTTTTTTCAAATTGTCTTCATCTCGTAATCTTTATTTTCTCAAAGGTGGAGTCCTTGCATCACACGATGGGCCCTGGTTACAATGACAGTTTATCAGCAAATCAGATGTACAGCCCTCGGGAGATCCGGGTAAGAACCCAAATATTGATAAGCCCATTTTTCTTTTGTAGTAAACCATAAGTTGCAAAGTAGAAGACTAGGGACAGTAGGTATGGCCCTTGTAATTTTATGGTATGATGGTTTTAGTGCATTTTGGGCCACTTATTGTAGCATTGGCTCCTCCTACATTAAGTCTCACCTCCCTTGTGTACATATATTACCAACATAGGTCAGGGCAGTGAAATCTTAGTGAATTCCTATGTGTAGTCTAAGGTAGGCCCTGTTTTACACTTGAGCTCCATTTACATACCAAAAGCATCTGAATCTGATTTCATGTCTGCCTCTTGTAATTCCCTGTACAGCAGGAAAAGGAAAGGGTATCCAGTAAGAGGAGAGAATAGGGATAATGGCATCAACATCTGCTGCTAATTCAACATCCAGTCACAGACTGGGCAGTTCCAGGACCTGGCTAAATTGTTTATCTGTAGTGTAGTCTGCAGGAGGAAGGGGATGTCCAGAGCCTAGAAGTGCTGTCTGCCTTAATTGTAGAACTAGTTACAAAGAATTGCAAAACAGTTGACATGAATGGTTATCATATATGTGTTTTAACTTGATATTTAATTGTTTTTCTGGAGATCCTCCTAAAAACATATACTGGGGAATTCATAAAATGTGTTGTAGACACTCACTGGAAGTCCCTTGCTCCTCCGAACAACAAATGTCAGTGACAGATTCATGTACCTGTTGGAAACAGGTACATGAATCTCCCAAGAAGTGGGGGGCACTGAGACTGCAGTGATTATACCATAGACCAGGGATGGGCGATTCTTTTTCCCAAGGGAAACTTGGATTGTTGTGGAAAGCCGAACTTAAGTCTACTCAATATTAATTTTGGAACTGGGAAGGTTCGCAAGTACATAAACTTAGAAAACAAACATCTGGCTCTAGAAATAATAGGTCATGAAATAGGCCTTTTTCAGATGGGCGCTTGGGGGCTAATAACAGATGGCTGATTCACGTTTGACCACCCGAACTGACAGGCTAAGGAAGGCATGCTGACAGTGGAAGCAACAAGGGCCAGATAGGGCCAACCAAAGGGCTGGATGTGGCCCTGGGGCCACAATTTGCCAAGGTCTGCCATAGACACACCTTCCTCGGTGCATGTTCAACCCCTTGTTAGCTAGGACACCCCCAGATGTGCAGCCAACAGAATCATAGCAATAGATGACTCATCCCCATTCAGTCACTACTCAGGAGAAAGATGAAAGTAAACAATGGTGAGCACGACACTCAATAAAATGGAATTTGTAAAAAAAAAAGTGGCCATTGCCACTGTAGGAAAAGTATGTCACCAGCATCCAAACATCTTTGTTTACTTTCAGCGGTCGGCCAGGGAATCTTCAGCTGACAGATGAATAGGGGTCAGGGATAAATCATCTAAAGGTGTTACAAAGCTGCTAGCATCCTAGCAACCACGAGCCCTGTGGTGGAAGCTGACACAGTGACACACATGCCTAACATATAGCTATGATCATGCAAGCAAGACCTTTAAAAAAAAAAAAAAAAACTTGTCTCCAGTGCATCATTATTTGTACCAAGTCCACTTGCAATCTATTTTGTATTCAACAAATGTCTCTCTTTTTGTTTATAGGCCAACGGAGGGTGGCAAGAGGCTGTGACTCCCTCTTCTGTCACTTCCCCAACAGAAGGACCAGGCAGTGTACATTCTGACACTTCTAACTGAGCACTCTCCTCCTCTCTGGGTTTCTCCTCTCTCACCCCTCCGGCAAGCTACGGTCTCTCCTTGAACTGATCTTGGGTCAGCATAGGACAAAAAAGTGTTGGGATTTTCCCTCTTCACTTCTCGTTCAACCCATGCTTCCTCTTACCTCTCTCTTCAAGTGAGCCTCAATACTATGAAACTGATCCAAGACAACAATGACTTTAAAACCTTAAGAGGTTATCTTCTGTAAATGGAGTGCTGATACAGGAGAGCCAACCTAAAAAAAAAAAAAAGAAAAACCTTGTCTTGGCATTTGTACCCAAAGAGTAACTACACATCCTTTTGGCTGTTCTAAAAAGAAACATGACAAGTTGGAGTAACTTAAGATGGTCACTCTAGAAAAGGACATATTCAGGTATCCAGAAGAAAGGGGAAATTCAAATGTCTCCAAACCTGTTTTCCAAAAACGCCCTCCACTTATACTGTCCAGTGGAGCAATATGAATGTATCACATCATCCACTGTACCAGGGTGACGTTGACAAAGAATAAAAACATCAGTTTGAGAACATAAAGGTGAACATGAAACCCAAATACAGAGTAAATGGGAGAGAGGAGTCGCCGGCAGAGGAGAAATTTAAGAGTGGATTTATGAATAAAAATAAAACAGGTTACATAAGGTGGCGATCCTAAGAGGCAAAAAGGATGACATTTGAGATCGAGGGAAGGAGAGGGGTATGGAAAAGGAAGAAAGTGGAATGGATATGGGAGTAAAAATACCAGAGAAAAGCAACACAGAGGAGGAAAGACAGAAAGTAAGACTTTAAATCTCCTCGCTCCTTCCCTCCAGAGTCTACCCAGAATCCTTTGAGGCTCAGCCAATCAAAGAACAGCGTTATTACCTCATAGCGGCTCACATAACCAATAGAGAAGACTTTTTTTCTGTTTTTTTTTTTTTTTTTTTTTTTTCTGAGTTTTCTTTATGTTCACACGTTCGCAAGTTTGACTACCTCCGAAGGGAAAATAAAATTATATATATATCTTTCACTTCTGCACGGGGGGTGGCAGTAAGGTGTGTGAGAATTTTTGTCTCCCCAAGCCTCTGTCCCTATCCCCCTTTTTTATTTTATTTTTTTTTTTTGTTGGGATGCTGGGCTACGAATACAGTTGATACTAGGAACTTTGTGTTTATGACAGGGTTGGGAGGGGAGGGGGGGGGGCTTTATTTTTTCATAATGCTGTTGGAGATAAAGTTACAGAACTGCAGAGGGGGTCAATGTGTGTGTGGATATCCCTGTTGATTGATACTTTAGTACATACATGAGTGTGTAAAATTGTGTGAATGAATGCTTGGAGAACGAATGTATATTTTTTATTAACGTATCTGATTTCATCCATTGTCTAGATGTCCTAAGCGTACTACAGAAATGTTGTATTTGTGGATGTCTTCTCAAAACTTTTTTTTTTTTCGGTGGATGCTCAATCACTCACTCACTTTGTAGACCCTGGCAGAAAGTTGTCTACAAATTACAAGCTCCACCTGCCCGTTATGGATGTCCCTCCTGCCGCTGTTTTGGGATATAAGCTGCGAACCGTACAAGGATATATTGGGTGGTTCAACCTTTTCAGTGTCTTCCCAAATCAGTATATTAATTGTGCTTTTAGGCTTTTGTCTGAATGAACTGGTATGATATAGAAACACTACATATGTAAACCTAGATGACAAAACCTATTCCTTTAGACCGCCTACATGTGGGGTTTCAAGGGAAAACTTGGCACTCGTTCCTGGTGGGAAATCCCAATTCTAAGTTGGAAATAGCGTGTTAAGACTAAAAATTCGGCGCACAACGTTTGGTTTGCACTCTGGTGCACCCAAAAACTTTCCTTGAGTATTTGGGCTGTGCCTGATACTGTAGACCTGTTTGTTAACATTACACCCCTGAGAGCACCCCATCCACTAGGTGAGTTTTAGTAAGCTAGGTGCAACTGGTGCACAACACAGAGGTATAAAGTAGTGCAGAGGTTTTGTCAAGTGATGAAGATCTGTTTATTGCCAGTTAGCTGAGGTTTACTAATAGCTAGATACACATTCTACTGTCTATAACAGGGGTCTCCAGTTTTTTTTTTAACAAAAGGCCAGTTTATTGCCTTTCAGGCTGGAGGAGGGCCAGACTCAGGCCAATGCGGGTATAAAATGTCCTAGCATGATTGGGAGGAATCGTGCCCCATCATTGGTATAAGTGGAAGGAATAGTGCCCCATCATTGGTATCAGTGAAAGGAATAGTGTCCCGTCATTGGTATCAGTGGAAGGAATAGTGTCCCGTCATTGGTATCGGTGGAAGGAATAGTGTCCCATCATTGGTATCAGTGGAAGGAATAGTGCCCCGTCATTGGTATCAGTGGGAGGAATAGTGTCCCGTCATTGGTATCAGTGGAAGGAATAGTGCCCCATCATTGGTATCAGTGGAAGGAATAGTGCCCCGTCATTGGTATCAGTGAGAAGAATAGTGCCCCATCATTGGTATTAGTGGGAGGACTAGTGCCCCATCAATGGGAGGAATAGTGCCCCATCAATGGGAGGAATAGTGCCCCATCATTGGTATCAGTGGGAGGAATAGTGCCTCATCATTGGTATCAGTGGGAGGAATAGTGCCCCATCATTGATGTCAGTGGGAAGAATACTGCCCCATCATTGGTGTCAGTGGGAGGCATAGTGCCTCATCATTGGTATCAGTGGGAGGAATAGTGCCCCATCATTGGTATCAGTGGGAGGAATAGTGCCCCATCATTGGTATCAGTGGGAGGAATAGTGCCCTATCAATGGGAGGAATAGTGCCCCATTGTTTGTATGAGTGCAAGGAATGGCACCCTATTGTTAAAGGAAGGACTGGTGCCCATCACTAGCGTCAGTGGGAGGAATGGTGGCCCAATATATTGGGGTCAGTGGAAGGAATGCTTCTCCATCATTAGTGTCGGTGGGAGGAATGGTGTCCCAGCATTGGTGCCAGTGGGAAGGATGGTGCCCCAAGAGCCTGGATAAGGGCAAGCAAAGGGCCACATTTGGCCTGTGAGAGACAATTGGTATATAGGTACAGCTCTGCACATCACAATGCAGTTTATCTCTTCTCCCCTACAGGATCACACCATACACTAAAATTATATAAATTATCCCATGTGCTGGGAGACCTTCAGCTGATGGGGCATACTCTAATCAGTTCAGAATTTGTTTCCAATACACTACTTGAGTCTTGCAAATGATGCTTGGGTATAATGCTGTATTCATTGGTTGTTGGCTGGTCAGATTCGGATAGTCAGAGTCACCTGTAGAAAGTCTATGTAGCTCCAAAATCCTACATAGCACAGGTACGTAATATGGCTGTTGAACTATGACAACATGAGGCTCTTCGAAAGCTGAGATTCCCTTAACCCAAATACACATTCTACTGTTGACAGGTTCAACTATGTATGGGTTACTGTTTGTGGCCTGTGCACATCATGTTAAATTTGCTTGATAATCCAGTTCAACCAAATGATAAACTACCTATAGACGTATCTGATAAAACGTGCAAGGAACAAAGTACGATAAGCCAACCAACCAGAATTTGCTATACAGGAGCTAGAACAGCACAAGATGAATTCTGATGGATACATTTCTTTGCTCATTGCACCTTTTTACTGGATAATATCCTGTAAATTTTTGATCGAGAAAGGGCCTGTTATGGCAACTTGAGGATGGCTATGGAAGGGCAGATTTCTCATTCTGTGTTTATGAGCACCCTAATTCTGGCCGTATGCTCTGTAATTTTGGGGCTGTCATCTTCTGTCAACCACAGCAATCTGACACTTAAACTTGCAATCGTTTGCCAGTTTCAAATTGACTAAACAATATAAATTGGCACAGAAAATGGTTAAAATTTTCTTTTAACTGGTAATGATAAATTGGTTTTCATTGTAATTTCTTAGTTGCTAAAAACTGGGGGAAAAAGTAAAGGGGTGAGCAGCAGATTGCCGTAGGTGAAAGCTAATGGTGACACTGAAAACTTCCAAGTGAATGGCCAGTAAGTCGGCCTTGTTCACTTAGGTCACTTTAGTGCACTGCCCAAGGCAGGCCATAGACTGCAAATTTCTTTCCTGCAGCGAAGGAAAGAAATTTGCTTGATTCCCCCATCAACACAGACAGTGTTGGAAAGGGGAATCCCTCCTGCCGAGCCATTGTGTTCTCTTGGCGAGGGAAGCCGTCCCCTCCTGGAAAAGACAGTGATTATTGGTAGCGGCTAGAACAGCCGCTAGTGATAATCACATGTAAAATCCGGCAGGCTGATCGATCGATCAACTTGCCTACATTCAGCCTACCCATACATGGTTCAGATCTTGGCCGATTCCTGCTTAACCGGCTGAGATTCCAACTGTGTGCGGCCAGCTTAAGGGCGCATTTATACAAACATGGCATGGTAAGGCATAGCACATAATTTTGAATGGCAATGCACTAAGGCAGCACACTCACTTTGCACCATGTTGCAACACGTGCGTTGCATTACAATAAAGCGTTAAATCTGATTTTTTTTTGGCACGTTTATGTTCATTAGTACCCCAATTATTTCAATGGGTTGTCTTAATCTATGTGCATTGTCACACCAAAGAAAGTAAATTGGCCCCCCCAAAAAAAAGTGTGAATTGTAAGGCCTCTTGCACACAGGGCATTTTTGCAGCCACTTGTAGAGGCGTCAGGTGTTTTTTTTTTTTGTTTTGTTTTTTTTTGGGGTTTTTTTTACTGCTTCCAAACGGCCCTCCATGTTATCCTATGTGTCAATGCACACACAGACTTTTAGAAGCTTTTAGTAGCTTTAGCGTTTACCAGCAGAAAAAAAAACCCAGGAGCAGCAGCGTTTTGGCAGAAAAAATGCTTGATGCGGCTAAACGTGCCTAAACACTTGGCGCGTATAGCGCTTGAGTGTTCATTCATTTCAATGGCCAGAATAAATTGTTCTGGCCAATTAAATGAATTAATGCCCAAGCACTCGA